AAGCTAGGCTTGCGGCTAGTAATAAAATTAAGAAGAGGGCTATAGTGAGTATTGTGCCTAGGTTATTTGTTTGTGAGGCTCATGGTAGTGGTAGAAGGAGTGCAATTTCTAGGTCAAAAGGAAGGAACATGATAGCCACTAGAAAAAAATTTTATGGAGAAAGGTAGGTGGGCTGATCTTGTGGGGTCAAACCCACATTCATATGGGCTTGTTTTTTCTGAGTAAAATTTAATTTCCCCATTTAATTGGGGAAGTCAGAATGCAATGATAACAAGTAGTAAGGCTAGTATGAAGTTGGTCAGGAGGGCTAGTATAAGGTTTATTATTCTTTTTCGGGCTGTACCGAAACTAACTGATTGGAAGTCAGCTGTACTAGTTAATACTAAAAGAATATGAGCCTCATCCATAGATAGATACGTAGAGGAAGAGTCATACTATGTCTGCGAAATGTCAATATCAGGCAGCAGCTTTGAAGCCGAAATGGTGGTTGGAAGTAAAGTGAAATTTTAGTTGGCGGAAAAAGCAGACAGTTAAGAAAGTAGACCCGGTAATAACACGTAGGCCATGGAAGCCTGTGGCTATGAAGAAGGTTGAGCCATAAACTCCATCTGAAATGGTAAAAGGTGCTTCATAGTATTCTGAGGCTTATAGTAGTGTGAAGTAGACAACTATTGCAATAGTAATGAATAGAGCTTGTAGTACATGGTTATGGTTTCCCTCTCTAAGGCTGTGATGGGCTCAGGTAATGGAAACTCCTGAGGCTAGTAAGACGGACATATTAAGTAGTGGGACTTCTAAAGGGTTAAGTGGATGAATGCCTGTTGGAGGTCAGCAACCGCCTAATTTGGGTGTTGGGGTGAGACTTGAGTGATAGAATGCTCAGAAATACCTGGTGAAGAATAAGACCTCGGAAATAATGAAGAGGATCATTCCATAACGGAGACCTTTTTGGACAGTTGGGGTGTGGTGTCCTTGGAAAGTACTTTCTCGGATAATATCTCGCCATCATTGATATATTGTAAGTATATTTGTTGTTGGGCCAAGTGTTAATAGGATTGTTGAGTTGAAGTGGAATCATATAATTAAACCAGATGTTATTAGGAGGGCTGATAGGGCTCCTGTGAGAAGTCAGGGACTCGGGTTTACTATGTGGTAAGCATGGGTTTGGTGTGTCATTATGTGTTGTCATGCAGGTATAGGCTGACTAGGAGGGTAAATATGTAGACTTGAATTATAACTACTGCAAACTCAAGAATTGTAAGTAGGACTAGAATAATAAATGTGATGAGGGCTGTTGTGGTGCTGATGTTCATTAGTGCAAGTGTGGCCCCTCCAATCAGGTGAATTAGTAAATGTCCTGCAGTAATATTGGCTGTTAGTCGCATGGCTAGGGCAATTGGTTGAATAAAAAGGCTAATAGTCTCAATAATGACCAGTATTTAAATCAATGGGGTTGGTGTTCCTTGTGGAAGAAAGTGGGCAAGTGATGCTTTAGTTTTGTTGTGGAAGCCTTTGACTACAGCTCCTGCTCACAGGGAATGACCATGCCCAGGTTCACTGATAATTGTGTGGTTGGTGTAAATGAGTGGGGTAATAGACCTAAAATATTTGTTGATCCAATAAATAAAATTAAAGACATAAGTATTAATGTTCATGTTTGTCCTTTGGCATTGTGAATTCCTATTATTTGTTTTGATACAAGTTGAAGTACTCATTGTTGGAGGGAAATAAGATGGTTATTCCCCAGTCGATTTGATGTTGGAAATAGTAGGCTAGGGAACATAACGATAAGGGTAGTGAGCAGGAGGCCTAGGATTATTGGGGTAATGAAAGAGGCAAATAGATTTTCGTTCATTTTGTTTCTCAAGGGATGTTTTGTTTTTGTGTTTTAGTTAACGTGGGTTCTGGATTAAGATAGAAACTGTGTTTTGAAATTTTTAATTGAAAAATAATAAAGAGAACCAGAAATATTGCTATAATTATTGTAAATCATGTTGATGTATCTAGTTGTGACATGTCATTAAGGAGAGTATTATGCCCTCAGTCTCTAGTTTAAAAGGCTAGTGCTAATTTAGCTTCTTAACGATTTTATAGTATTGATGCAAATCATTTTTCAAAATATTTTAGTGGGACTAGTTCAAGAACAATGGGCATGAAGCTGTGATTTGATCCACAGATTTCAGAGCATTGTCCGTAGTACAGGCCTGGTTGAGTTGAATAAGAGTTGTTTGGTTCACGCGGCCTGGGATTGCGTCTGTTTTTAGTCCTAAGGAGGATACAGCTCAGGAGTGTAGTACATCTTCTGAAGAAACTAATATTCCAGTTGTTATTTCTGTTGGTAATAACTGAACTGTGATTCTAATAGTCACAGTTCTCCTGGTTTTAATTCTGATGTTGGAATTATGTAGGAATCGAAGCTTAAGTCTTCATAATCTGTGTATTCATAGCTTCAATATCACTGATGTCCCATAGTTTTTACTGTAAGGGATGGGTTGTTGATTTTGTCTATTATATATAAAATTTGTAAAGATGGGAGGGCAATTAGGATTAGGATAATGGCTGGTAAAATAGTTCAGACTGTCTCTACCTCCTGGGAGTCTATTGTACTGGTGTGAATTAGTTTTGTTGTTAACATTAATGAGGTGATGTAGAGTACTAGTGAGCTAATTAGACAATTATTAGTGTGTGATCATGAAAGTGTAGTAATTCTTCTATGGTAGGTGATGTTGCATCTTGGAAACCTAGTTGTATGGGGTAGGCCATATGAGGTATGCGGAGTTTTCACCTGTCACTTAACTTTGACAAAGTTATATAATGTTTTACTAACACCTCATCAATTGAGAAAGACATAGTGGCTATGATGTTGGCTTGAAACCAGGTATAGAGGGTTCGACTCCTTCCTTTCTTATTTTAAGTTGACATATGTAGGTCCTTCAAATGTATGATATGGTGGAGGGCACCCATTTAGTCACTCTAAGTTTGTTGTCAGGTCTACAGTCAGGACTTCTCACTTAGATGCAAATGCTTCTCAGATAATAAAGATTATTAGTATAACTGCTGTTAAAGAGATAACTGAGCCTATAGATGAAATGGTATTTCACATTGTATATGCATCTGGGTAATCAGAGTAGCGTTGTGGTATACCGGACAACCCTAGCAAGTGTTGTGGGAAGAAGGTTATGTTTACACCTACAAATTTAATTACAAAATGGATTTTGGTTCATGTTGTGTTGAGGGTGTATCCTGAGAATAGTGGTAATCAGTGAACAAATCCCCCTATAATAGCAAATACAGCCCCCATTGATAATACATAGTGGAAATGTGCAACTACATAGTATGTGTCGTGGAGAACAACATCGAGAGAAGAGTTGGCTAGAACAATTCCAGTTAAACCTCCAACTGTAAAAAGGAAAATAAATCCTAGAGCTCATATTATAGCAGGTGATCATTTAATGTTACCCCCGTGAAGTGTTGCTAATCAACTAAAGACTTTTACTCCAGTTGGGATGGCAATAATTATAGTGGCTGATGTGAAGTAGGCTCGTGTGTCAACGTCTATTCTGACTGTAAATATGTGGTGAGCTCATATGATAAATCCTAGGAATCCAATTGATATTATAGCTCAGACCATTCCCACATATCCAAATGGCTCTTTTTTTCCTGAATAATAGGTTATGATGTGAGAGATTATACCAAACCCAGGTAGAATAAGAATATATACTTCAGGGTGTCCGAAGAATCAGAATAAGTGTTGGTATAGAATAGGGTCCCCACCTCCTGCTGGGTCAAAGAAAGTTGTATTTAAATTTCGGTCTGTTAATAGTATTGTAATCCTGGCTGCTAGGACAGGGAGTGAGAGAAGTAGCCGTACGGCAGTGATTAGTACAGATCACACGAACAGAGGGGTTTGGTATTGTGACATTGCAGCGGGTTTTATATTAATAATTGTTGTAATGAAATTAATGGCCCCTAGAATTGAGGAGACACCTGCCAGGTGTAGGGAAAAAATAGGTCCACTGAAGCTCCTGCGTGGGCTAGATTGCCAGCTAGAGGGGGATACACGGTTCAGCCTGTTCCTGCTCCGGCTTCAACTATAGATGATGCTAGAAGAAATAAAAAAGGAGGAGGGAGGAGTCAGAAGTTTATATTATTTATTCGAGGGAATGCTATATCAGGGGCACCAATTATCAGGGGAACTAGTCAATTGCCAAATCCTCCAATTATAATTGGCATTACTATGAAGAAAATTATTACAAACGCATGTGCAGTTACAATTACGTTATAAATTTGATCATCTTCGAGCAGGGTTCCAGGTTGACCCAGTTCAGCATGAATCAGTCGTCTTAGGGCTGTTCCTACTATGCCTGCTCAGGCACCAAATAGTAAATACAGGGTACCAATGTCTTTGTGATTAGTTGAAAATAATCAGCGCTTGACGAACATAGGTAAAATGGCTGAGTGAAGCATTAGACTGTAAATATAAAGACAGGGGTTTAATTCCTCTTTTTACCAAGTCCTGTGGTGAAATTACATGTTGAATTGCAAATTCAAAGAAGCAGCTTCAATTCTTTGATTTACCCCCTGATCTTGGCAGCCTGACCCCTCGAGGGGAGCAAAGGTAGAGAGAAAAGCAACCCAACCTCCCAAGTCTCAGTTTTATACCCCCTGCATTGCAACAGCTGCCCCTAAAATGAGTCGGGGGATATTTGAGGACCCCATCAGCTCATGTATGTGAAATTGCTTGGCTAAGTCATCAATTCCTACCTGAACACGGCAGCTCTAGGACCTGGGTTCAGCTCAGAGCAGATTTCCTGGGAACCCATGTCAAGTTCACAAACAGGCTGTGAGCAGTGTGCCTCAGACTGAGGCTCCAGTCCAGGGCATGGCACACCCTCCTGGAAGCGCAGCCGATTGCAAAGGTTCTGCTGTCGGGTTCTGGGCAGGAAGAGGGTGGGCTCCCCCAAAGTCGGCCCTGACCCAGCCCTCTCCCTGCCCACCAGGAGCCTTCCTGATCCCCTACTTCCTCATGCTCATCTTCTGCGGGATCCCCCTCTTCTTGGTGGAACTCTCCTTCAGCCAGTTTGCAAGTCAGGGCTGCCTGGGGGTCTGGAGGATCAGTCCCATGTTCAAAGGTGAGGCCCGGATGGGGTACACACACACACGGGCCTCTGGGGGCCGTGCTGACTCCCCCATCTGTATAAAGACTGCCAACCCCTATGGAACCCGCGTGTTGACCCCAGGTCCACATCAATGGCCAAGGCCAGGGACACATGCTGGGATCCATTGTTTACTTGGCCTCCACCCTCCCCTCCTACCACATGCATACACAAAAGCCCTTCGCCCGCTCTCCCACTCAGCCCCCAGCTCGCTCCTGCCAAGGCTTTGACCTGCCCCTTCTGTGGCCCTCCACGAAAGCCTGCCCCTTAGGCCCTTCAGTATGAGCTTCGTCTCCTTCAGCTAGGTGAGTGAGGCTGCTCCTGCCCCTCCCCTCCCCCAGGTGTGCGCTACGGCAGGATGGTGGTGTCCACATACATGGGAATGTACTACTGCGTGGTTGTCTGCATCGCCTCCTGCTGCAGTAGCTGTTGGAACCCGCCCGACCGCGTGAGCGCGCTGGATGACCCCAACCTCACTGAGAGTCTGCAGCCCCCTGCCCAGCTCGGCAATGTCTCTCAGGCGCTCAACCTGAGCCTCCAGAGGGCAAGCCCCAGCGAGGAGTACTGGAGGTGAGGCCCCCATGGGACCTGGGCTTCTGGGGGTTACCCTGGGAGCCTGTCTTCAGCCCTCCTTCTTTGCTGAAGGGCAGTGGTCTGCAGTCTAGGGAGGGTGCCAGGAATGGAGCAGGGCAGGGGTGTGGGAAGAAATGTAAGGAGTTTCGAAGCCCACTTCGGGAGAGGCTGTCACACAGGCTCTGTGAGTTTGTGTGCGTCCTTACATAGCAGCAATGAGGCACCAGCAGTCAGGCAGGGCAGACGAGGAGGGTCGGGGCAAAGAGGGGTGGCTTCCTGGTAAGCAGAAGAACTCCAGCAGAGGCCTTAGCTCCAGATGAGCCTGAGGGAAAGCCGTTGTGACGAGGGTAACAGGTGTGTGGGGAGCTCACCAGCCCCGTGGCGGCCTACAGGGAGCACGTGACTTCTTGGCGGGCTTATAAGAGGGAAGCGTAGGCCTAGCCCTGCAGAAGCAAAGGAGAGCTGTGGGAGTGTCCTGAGCCCAGAGCTGTCGTCATCAAGCTGTGTTTGGGAAGGGCAGCCTGGCCCCCTGAGCTCTGCGCTGACAGAGAACGGAGTCCTGGGGCTGGCCTGAAGGGAGGTTGTTACTGGGGGGGTTTGGAACATCTTGTCTCAGCTGAGTGGGTGTGAGGGCACAGCAGGACCTCCTGGAGGAAATTCCCCACGTCCTGTTGGGGAGCTCCTGGGAAGAGGGCTTTGTGGGCTGATGGGCAGGCCTTGTTCATTCATTCCACAAACATTGATGGCGTCCACTCTGATGGGCCCTGTGTGCTCATGGGGTATGAACAGCCCTGAGTCCATGCCACGAGGAGGTCACAGTCTGGAAGGGAGCTTGGTAGTTAAAGCTCTGTGGGGCAGGGGCCTCAGTGCAGGTCTATGCAGGGATGTGGTGAGGGCAAGAGCAGGTGATTGAGGAGGCTTCCCATGGACTTCCCTCAAGGTCCAGTGTCTAAGCTTCCGAGCTTCCAGTGCCTCTACTGCAGGGGGCACAGGTTCAATCCCTCCTCAGGGAACTAAGATCCCACATGCCAAGCATGACACGGTCCAAAACCAAATCATAAACAAAGCCAAGACTTCCCAGAGGAGGGAGAAAGGAAGTAGAGAAGGATTGGGAGACACGGGCAGATGAGCTGCAGCCAGGAGGTGGCAGACTGGAGCTGGGGGTGGGAGCAGGTAGGACAGAGTATTGGGACAGAGGAGGCCAGGACATGAAAAGGCACAGGGCTTGCCCTGCTGGTCAGAGGGTTCGAGCCTTCTGCATGCTGTGATGGAGAGTCAGGGCTGAGCGGCTGAGGTCCCAGTGACACTCGAAGTCCTAGCAGGTCCATGTCCTCTAAGCTGAGGGCCAGCACTCAGAGCGTCAGGGCCCAGTGTCCCTGGGCTGCTGCTGCTGCATATGTGCTCAGTCCTGTCTGACTCTTGGCCACTCCGTGGACTGTATGTAGCCTGCCAGGTGCCTCTGTCCATGGAATTTTCCAGGCAAGAATATGGCACAGGTTGCCATTTCCTACTCCAGGGGATCTCCCTGACCCAGGGATTGAACCAGTGTTTGCTGCACCTCCTGTACTGGCAGGCAGATTCTTTACCACTGATCCGATTGGGAAGGCCCTGTGCTGCGCTATAGATGTTCAAAGACGGTTAAGATGTGCTCTCCGTCCTCAAGACTCTTGGTGGAGACCATCGAGCCGTTGCCTCCCAGTGAGGTTTGGGCAAAATTCCCTCTGGGCAGATTCAGCCAGTCAGTCATTGGACGGGTCATTTCCTGAACACCAGGTAGGTCCTGAGAACTGTACTCAGAGCAGGGACAGAGCACGGAGTAAGAGACTCCGCCCACTGAGATGTTCTGCTACATTTGGGGCAGGACACATGGTGTGGACTGGGCGACTTGATCTGGACTAGGGAGAACCTTCTGGAAGGTTGCAGAAGCCCACAGCCTGGAGATGCTCCAGAAATGATCAGCCCAGAGGCTGTCTTCCAGGGTGGGGGTACTGCTTGGCAAAGCTCAGGAGATTTTATCCAGTGCAATTAGAGGGGAATATCCCTCCTAGAAAACTAGCCATGGGTCAGGAGGTCCACAGGATGGCCCGCTGAACTCCACTCTTTGTCCGGGGCTGGGGCCAGGCCTCCCTAAGGAGCAGGCAGTCCCAGACAGGACTCCTTCTCTTCAGGATGGCTCCCTGCTGCCCCCTCCTGGAGAGCCTAGGGAAGTGACCTTTGAGAGGGCTGCCCAAGCTGGCTTCAGGAAGAGGAGGTGAGCCAGCACCCCCATTTCTGGGCACCTACTATGTGCTTATTGTTGTTTAGGTGCTCAGTCGTGCCCAGCTCTTTGGCAACCCCATGGGCTGTAGCTCTCCAGGCTCATCTGTCCATGGGATTCTCTAGGCAAGAATCCTAGGGTGGGTTGCCATTTCCTTCTCCAGGGGATCCTCCCAACCCAGAAATCAAAGCCAAGTCTTCTGCATTGGCAGGTGGGTTCTTTACCCCTGAGCCACCAGGGAACTATGTGTTAGGCATATTATATGATATCAGCCCCATTTTCAGATTCAGAGACTGATTCTCCGCTGTTACGGAACTAGGCCGCAGTGCTGTGTCAGGATATACGTATGTCAGGATACGCGTGCCCCGCTGTGCCTGGTGCCTAAAGTGAATTAGGCTGATGATACTCTGCAGGCTTTCTGGGTCCACAGTCTCCAGCGACCTTTTGGAAAACTGCACAATCTCATTTGAGCCCCACAGCAACCCTATTAGATAGTGTGTGCCAGTTTTATAAAATGTTCCAATTGTACAAGTGAACAAAGGAACTCAAGAGAAAGATTGACTCCTCTAAAGGGAGAAGAGTTGCCAGGGCAGATTTCTGAGCCCACGTCTGCCTTTTGCCCACCCTTGGCTTCCAGCCTTCCCTGCCCTCACCACGTCTTTACAGCATGACCTTAGAGTCCTCTGAGAGCTGATCTGATGCCTGCCAGACAGGCCCAAAGTTCAGGACCAGCCCTCATCTCCCCAGCAGACACCTGACGCCCAGTGAGACTTGGATCCCAGCACCCTGCTCTCAGTGTCTTCATGCCAGCTCTAGAGCCACACAGACCTCACTCAGATCCTGGCTGTGCTGCATAGCAGCTTGGCCTTGTGAGGTCACCAAACCTCTTTACGCCTCAACTGTTCATCCATTAAGTGGGAGTGGTTACAACATCATTCTTGTTATGATAAAGATGTAAAAGAAATCACTAAGAACAGGGGCGGGTGCTCAGTAAGCACAGTGATAACCACTGCTGGAGATGCAGTGCAATAGATGAGAGCGTCCTGTTCTCAAGGCGTTTACCATCTGGTTGGGGACATTAAAAAATAATGCAGAATAAGTCCAGAGATGTTATGTGAAAGCCAACTTGTAACTCTGTGTGGTTCTGAAAGTTTTTCAGTTAGTCGTTTGGTCTCAAAAGCACATGGTCCAAAACCAAAACCAAACACTAAATATGGTGCCATAAAAAGAAAGTTAGAGTTCAGAAGATTATCCTTCCAAACTCTCTAAACCCTTGTATTGTATGCTGAACTCTTGCAATAAGAAAATAATACAAAGCACTACCAGTTTAACATATGTAACTAGACAAAGGTTTGAGAGAGTCTTTTGAGCAAGGAATGGGTTCTTTCCTTTGAATGCTGGTGCTTAAAGTAAATCACCTCTCAGCTGTAGCAGTAAGACCTGGTGGCTATTCTGGAAGGCAGAGCCTCCCAACACAACTTGAAAATGGGCATCATAACTTCATAACTTTACGATGTGCCCTACCTAAGTAGTGTACCAGTGCGGTCAGGCTTGGGCAGCCCAGAATCTCCAGCCCTGCTGCCTTCAGCTTTGAGTGACCTTGTCTATTTGCCCCATGGGCCCAAACTATTTTCTTCTGCATGTCTCAGAGGGAAAAAGATTGGAAAGCACAGCCGCAAGGGTCCAGGAGCCACTCCTGGGAGGAGGGCGTGGATCTTATTCATCCGTTTATCTTTGGTTCCCCCATGGACTGAGCCTGGAGAGTTTCTCACCCTGATGCCTGTTGAGCGAACCAACGTAGAGGCAGGAGTTTGGCAGAAGAGGGATGTGTTGGTCAGCGCCCCCTGCAGGTCACAATGTGAAGGGCAGCCTAGGGGAAGATTTGCGACAGAAGAGGCCTGCTAAGGTGCTTGCGGGTCTGACAGTGCGGTGAGCCGAGCAGACAAATCCCGGACCTGGCAACACTGTCCCGTGAGGGAGCAGGCTGACCACCCATCACAAGGTATAAACATGTTTTCATGAGGTTTGAGAACTGAGTTGGAAAAAAAGTAAAAAGAGCTAAGATTAGAGGACAGCCTATGAGCTATGCTGAGAAGTCTTCACTGAAAGAGGGGGAAGAAAGGAGCCTGTATTTTTCTAAATTTACCTACAGATCATCCTAGGTTGAAGTTAGGATGCCCATTTTCAAGATGAGGAGACTGAGGCTCAATCGTTTGTCTCTTGCTCATCAGTTCTAGGCTGGACAACTCCAATAGCCATGCCAGTCCCCCTCCAGATACTCCCCTTTATACTTCCCAGTCCATTTTCCATGATGTGAATTCATTCACCCATTCAGCAAATGCTTACTGGGCATGCCTCTTGTTCAGATGTGTTCAGAATTTCAAGATGGCAATGGCAGGACGCTAAACCAAGCACAAGGCCCTTCTAAGCACGGGGCCCTGTGTGCCCGCACAGATCTCACATCCATGTGGACGTGTGGAGGTCTGGGGAAAGAGTACGCCAGACAGGGAAGAGCATGTGTAAAGGCCCTGAGGTGGGAGTGGGCCTGGCACATTTTAGGAACAAGGAACCCAACACAGCTGGAGCAGTGAGTAAGGGGGGAAGGAGCAGGAGGAGAGGAGATCTGAGAGATGGCAGTTAGGAGATAGTGGATCGTGAAGGGCTTTGTAGCCACCGTATGGACTTTGGTTTTTCCATGGCCAGAGATGGGAGCTGTTACAAGGTTGTGAGCCAAGGAGAGGCCCTGAGAGACCTCTTCTAAAAACCCTCCAGGAGCTTCTCATTGCTCTCAGAATAAAATCCAAACTTCTCCTTCTTGTCTTCACAACGTCTCTTGATCTTGTTCCTTCCTATCTTCATCCTTCTCTATTCCCCTCTCCTTCTTCTCCAGCCTTCTGGAGTTACTGACGTGCCCAGGCAGTTCCTGACCCTGTCCTGCTGGGTCATGACCTGACCCTGACCCATGCCCTCAGCCTGGCATGTGCTTTCATTTCTCTTCACCCACTTTCTCCCCATCCTTTGAACTTCGGCTCAAGCCGCCCCTCTTCTAGGAATACTTCCAGTGTGTTCCTCCCCATGGGGTTAGGATGCTCCTGGCAGTGCCCACAATACCTGATTTAAGTCAACATGCCTAGTATCTAGCAAGGGCTTGGCACATCAACATCCAGTAGATTGAAGACACAGCTGGCATGGCATGGGGCTCCAGAGAGAGTCAGGCATACTCAGGAGAGGACTTCAGGTTCCAGTCTAGGCTTGTGTGCTCCAGTGTGTGCTAAGTCGCTTTAGTCATGTCCAATTCTTTGTGACCCCATGGACTATAGGCCTGCATGCTCCTCTGTTCATGGGATTCTCCAGGCAAGAACAGTGAAATGGGTTGCCATTTCCTCCTCTAGGGGATCTGCCCAACCCAGAGATCAGAGCCATGTCTCGTACGTCTCCTGCATTGACAGGCGGCTTCCTTACCACGAGTGCCACCTGGGAAGCCTCCGTCTTTCCTCAGTACTCCACTGCCTGCCTCTCTCCATCTGAGTTGGAGGACTGGTGTGGGTGAAAAGGTCACAGAAGGCTTCCTGGAGGAGGTGATGCCAGATGGGGTGTGTCTAGTCTGGAGGAGAGGGCCTTCCTAAAGGAAAGGCCTGGGCCGGGTCTGAGCAGGGACAGGGAGACCTCCACACCCCAGGGGCTGGGGAAGCTAGCCCAGGCCTGGGGTGTGGCCTGCAGGCACCCTCGAGGATCCTGGGAGAGGCCACAGGCAGTGAGGCCTGGGCAGGCTGGGGCTGGGGCCTCGCCAAGGCTCCCATTGTAGAGAAGCTGGCTGCTGGGACTCCGTGAGAAAGGAGGGAGCTGCCAGGCTGGGGCTGGGGCCTCGCCAAGGCTCCCATTGCAGAGAAGCTGGCTGCTGGGACTCTGTGAGAAAGGAGGGAGCTGCCAGGCTGGGCCCTGGGCCTTGGGGATGTGTTGCTGGACGGTGCGGCTGGCCCTCAGTGACAGCGTGTCCCCTTCTAGGCTCTACGTGCTGAAGCTGTCGGATGGCATTGGAAACTTCGGGGAGGTGCAGGTGCACCTCCTCAGCTGCCTGCTTGTCTCCTGGGTGGTCGTCTTCCTCTGCCTCACGCCAGGGGTCAGGTCTTCAGGGAGAGTGAGTCCCCTCCCTCCGGGATCTGAGCCCACCCAGAAATCTGCCTCCCCTGCCTGGGTTTTGTGTGTGGAGGGGTGGGTGGGGGCGTGATGAAAGCATGTAGGAGGGAAAGAGGGACCAGAGGACCCGTGGTGGTTGAGGGGGCAGGTTGGGGGTGGAGTGAGAAGAGCCCAAGGAGTCCAGGGGGGCCCCTCTCACCCCCAGTGGCGTACTTTACGGCCACATTCCGCCACGTGGTGCTGACCATCCTGTTTGTCTGTGGCGTGACCCTGGAAGGAGCCTCCAAGGGCATCAAGTACTGCCTGACCCCACAGTGGGACAAGATCCTGGAGGCCAAGGTGGGCTGTGGGTGGAAGGTGACCTGGAGGGACGGGGAGGGGCAGAGAGGCGCCAGCCTCTGAGCGCAGCTCCTCCTGCAGGTATGGGGGAACGCCGCCTCCCAGATCTTCTACTCACTGGGCTGCGCGTGGGGCGTCTCATCACCATGGCTTCCTACAACAAGTTCCACAACAACTGTTACCGCTGAGAGTCTCTCCGCCAGCGCTGGGGCTGCCCCCTGTTCTGCCCTCTGCAGCCTGACCCTGCTTCCCCCAGACCCAGCAGATCCAGTGAGGCCTTCTGGCCCGCCAGCACCCTCCCTTCCACTCACAGCCTGGAGATCCTGGCAGTGCCGGGTCTGGTTCCAGTCACTGCAGAACAGAGAGCACTTAGGCAGAAGAGAGAAGGGGTGATGATAGTGATGCCCCAGGGGTCTGTAAGGACTCAAGAGCCTCGTGCCCACTAAAGAGGCCCAGAACAGACCAGAGAGGAGATTGGGGGTACTTTTGTTCCTAGAAGTTTCCCTGTCTCAAGTCTGCTGACCCAAATTGGGCAGGAGGAACTAAGCTGCGTGTCCTGACCACGTGTTTGCCTCCCCATTAGAGACAGTGTCATCATCAGCGTCACTAACTGTGCCACCAGCGTCTATGCCGGCTTCATCATCTTCTCCATCCTGGGCTTCATGGCTAATCACCTGGGTGAGGATGTGTCCCATGTGGCAGACCAGGGCCCGGGCCTGACACTCATGGCATACCCAGAGGCCCTCACACTGCTGCCCGTTGCCCCACCTCTGGTCCTTGCTCTTCTTCTTCACGCTCATCTTGATGGGGCTGGGCACTCAGGTACGAGATGCGGGACCCGGGCCTGTGGCTTAGGGCAGGAGGAGGCGGGGCCAAGGGTAGGCCCCTGCTCTGATGGCTGTATCCTGCAGTTTCACCTCCTAGAGATGCTGGTCACAGGCATTGTGGATGAGTTAGGGACTGAGTGGATCCTGCAGAGAAAGATATATGTGACCTTGGCCGTGGCTGTGGCTGGCTTCCTCCTGTGAATCCCCCTCACCAGCCAGGTAAGAACCAAGGGAAAGGCTGGGCCAGAGTTGCCAGGGTGTGGGGTGGGGGGAAGACAGCAGAGAGAAGGGGTCTGTAGCCTCAGGCACCCCCAACTAAGCTGCCCACTGGCCCGCAGGCAGGCATGTACTGGCTGCTTCTGATGGACAACTACGCGGCCAGTTACTCCTTGGTCATCATCTCCTGTGTCATGTGTGTCCATTATGTACATTTACGGTAAGTGCCAAGCTTCCATGGCCTCCCATGTCCCAGCCCCTGGCCTGCTCACACTGTTCTGTGGGCTGTTGACCTCCATCTCTCCAGGGCACCAGATCTACTTCGAGAACATCCAGATGATGCTGGGGTCCCCACCGCCCCGCTTCTTCCAGATCTTCTGGCACTTCATCTCACCAACTATCATCTTTGTAAGTTCCTCTCTGGTCCCTCCTCTGCTGCCCCCATGGAAAGCGCCCTTCTCTTGAGAACCAGCCAAGGAAGAGCACGAGCCCAGCCATTAGGCCAGAGCTCCCCATGGGGGCTCTGCACCTACAGCGTCACTGGAAGTCTGAGCGTAGCTGTATAGAGTCAGACAGGTGTGGAGACTCAGAACCACCCAAGTCCTGGCCTTGGGTTAGGAAGGGAGCACAGGGCCCTGTATTTGATGGAAGACAGTGCCCAGCTTCAGAAGAGGAAAATAGACTGGCAGCAGCTGAGAACCGGCCCTCCCTCCCTGGTATTTCCACCTGGCGTGCCCGCAGAGGAGCCTCGGGAATCATAACTGACCTTGGCGTTGGCCTCTGACAGCTTCAGTGAGCTCGTGTCTCCAGTCCCTCGTGGCCGAGGTGCTTGGAGTGCTTAGGGTGTATGGTGTGAATGTGTGTTCTAGAAGCAGGCTGTGCAAGTCAGGTATCAGTGCAGGATCCGGGACACCCTCCTGAGCCACCCTGGAATAGGCTGGCTTGGGAGGGGAGTTCTGGGTTTCCACCAGTATTCAACGCCTGGAAGGACAGACCCCCCCAGCAGGGAGTGGAAGTCGTGGAGGGAAAGCCCACCATGACCAGGAACAATACACTAAGTCTCATGATACAACTCACCATGGTTTCATTATTATCCCCACTTTACAGATGAGGAAACTGAGGCCCGAGATGTTAAGTAATTGACCTAAGGTTATATAGCTTCTAAGAGTCAGAGCCCTCATGCGAAGCAATTGGTCTGATCTGGAGCGTGTGTGCTGGGCCCATGCTGCATTAGAAACAAGTTTAGGAGTAGGAGTGGTCTGTGGACTACAAACCTTCTGATTTTGTTCCTTTATGATCAGGGTGAGAAGGCGGGGGCGGGAGTGAGGGGTGGGAGTCGGGCAGGGATTTGCTAGTGTCATGGTCCCTCCACAGAGAAGAGGCAGGGCTGTCTCTGAGTGACAGAGGGGTCAGCCCGATGGTCAGGGCAGTGTCTGGCGTCGTGCCCCCGGTCGTGCCAGTTCCTCTGTGCCACAGAGAGGTCAGCACCGGGTTTCCACATTGGTTCATGTTTCTGGAAAAGAAAAAAAAAGACCCCTGAGGGCTGAGGCCTCCATCGCATGGGGTGTGGGATCTTCCCAAGCCTGGCAGAGACACCAGCTCTGGCCACTGGCCCGGCTTTGAAACAGGAGCAGAGGAAGTGTCTTGTAAGAGGTGGGAGGCGGGGGAGGGCAAACACCACAGCCAAGGGCTGTGTCCTCGAGGGTTCTGGCTTTGGCCCAGGACCTGCCGTGGGGGAGCTCATCCTCCAGGGCTCCCAAAAAGCTGCTGCCCTATGGGGGGACCCAGGGCGCCGCCCAGGCAGTTCAGGAGGCAGCAGGCAGCCCGGGCCCGGTGTCTGCAGGAAACTAAGGCAACGCCCGCAGCATCCTCCCTGCGCTCAGAAAGCCAGGCTGGATTCACCTTCGGGTGAGGATGCCAGGCTCTGTGGACCACGTGCTTCTGGGCTGTTAGTTTTCTTTGGGAGCCTTTACTTCATAGTGCTGAAAAGGTTTTTTTTTTTTTTTTTTTTTTTTTACAGACTCCGTCAGCTCAAATAAAGAATGTGTCCACATGTTAGATCAGGCCTAGTTCCATTCAGAAAACGAGTTATAAACTCCTCTAAGTGCAGCATCCCCCAGATGCAGGTCTTGACTTCTCGAATTTAGTCACTAAAAAGGCTGGAGGGGCCTGAGCTCCAGGACATGGCTGAAGGCTTTGGAGGTGTATGCTGAGGCCTCCTGGCAAGCAGCACACATTGTCCCAGGCCCTCCAAGTGGCCCATGAACCACCTGCCCATCTTTCTGCTTCCTGTCGTATTTTTGTTGCTGCAACCCTAGGCTTTATCTCTGCTGTCCCTCAGCTCTTTCCAAAGTGGTTCTGAGAGTACTCCCAGCCTGACATGGTTTCTAGGCTTCGGAGCCTCCCCTGGCTGTCCATTGCTGTCTCTGCAGCCATAGTCTGGCAGGACTTCTCCCTTTCCTTTCCCTCATTGCTCCCACCTCCCTGCATAAGTCAGTTCAGATCAGCACATGAGATTGTGCCAGGTGCCGTGCTAGGCACTGGAGACCTAGAGCTGATGCAATCCCAGGAGCTCCCAGGTCTGGAGGAAACACTGAAAAATTGCTTCAGTTCAGTTCAGTCGCTCAGTCGTGTCTGACTCTTTGTGACCCATGAACCGCAGCAAGCCAATCCTCCCTGTCCATCACTAACTCCCGGAGTTTACCCAAACTCATGTCCATTGAGTCGGTGATGCCGTTCAACCATCTCATCCTCTGTCGTCCCCTTCTCCTCCTGTCCTCAATCTTTCCCAGCATCAGGGTCTTTTCAGAGGAGTCAGCTCTTTGCATCAGGTGGCCAAAGTATTGGAGTTTCAGCTTCAATATCAGTCCTTCCAATGAACACCCAGGACTGATCTCCTTTAGGATGGATTGGTTGGATCGCCTTGCAGTCCAAGGGACTCTCAAAAGTCTTCTCCAACACCACAGTTCAAAAAATGCTTAGTAGATGGAAAATCCCAGTGAGCCTTAAAGGCCACAGATTTGGCCTTACTTCAGCGGGCAGTGGGGGGTCATTGTAAGTCTTTGAGTAGAACTGACTTTTAAGGGCCCCGGCAGCTGAGGAGTTTCTTGCCTGCTTCAGGATTATCCAAAAGCCAGACCCCTCCCCTTCCACAGTGCCCACCTGCCCATCATAGCCTGGACCCCTGGTGCCATCAGCTTCTTCCGCTACGCAAACATTGATGTCACCCCTGCCTCCCTGAAATGCTTCTTTCTAGTCTGGGAAACTGGAGAGGGAGGGGAGCAGTGCTGATAGGAGGCCTAAGGCCTGGGTGGGGCTGGGCAGGACTCATGCCCACTCCCAACCCCCACTCTTTGCAGTTTATTCTCATCTTCCTGGTGGTCCAGTACCAGCCGATCACCTACAACCAATACAGATATCCAAGCGAGGCTGAGGCCATTGGCTTCCTTATGGCTCTGTCCTCTGTTATCTACACTCCATTCTACGCCCTGTTCCACTTGTGCAGAACAGATGGGGACACCCTCCTCCAGGTGAGGGGTGGAGGCAGGGGCAGCCAGGTGAATCGGAAGGGGGTGGATGGCTGGATGCTGCTCCAGGGCTCCCTTCTGATGCACTCTGCCCGCCTGTTCCTCCCCTATGCCTACCTCTCCTGCAGCACTTGAAAAACTCAACCAGGCCAAGCAGAGACTGGGGTCCCGCCCTCCTGGAGCACCGAACAGGGCGCTACGCCCCCACCATTCCACCCTCCCCCAAAGATGGGCCTGAGCTCCAGCAGCTGCACCCGGACAAGGCCCAGACTCCCACTGGGGGCAGTAATGACTCCAGCCATCTGCAGGACACACAGATGTGAGCACACTGCTGGGGGGAGTGCCCCACCCCACCCTGTGCTCCCAACACAGAGACTGGGGAGACAGTGGATAGGTGTCACTGCCTGCGCCCACCATGCCCTGGCCGGGGGTGGCCCCTGTCACCTTGGCCACCACTGCTAGCATGGTCATTGTTCACGGCCAACCAGTCTCTGGAGCCAGACTCCTCCCCCCAAGCCCCTCTGTGCAGTGACAGCCCCGGAAGAGCCGCCTCTAATCCTCTGTAGCAGTGACGGTGCGCTGCCCATGCCCAACCGTCTGCATTCCACTAGGCTTTTAAAGTTCATAGGTTTTAATGAAATTTCTATTCTTGTTTCTGAGCTGCTGCTGTGCTTTGTCTGGGTCCCCCAGGGGGATATGAGTCAGGGCTGGGACAAGACCTCCTCCTGCCAGGCCTTTGGGGGGCTGCCTGGGAGGAGAAAGGCCAGAGGCTGTGACAGTCAGGACCGGACACTGAGGACCTGGTGGGAAGGTAGGGTGGGGGCCACACAGACAGACAGGCAGACAGCAGTGGAATCCTGGGGAGGGCTCATCCTAGACTAGATCAGAAGAGGGCTGGACCCTGCGGCTGAAAGAGAGCAGGAGCAGACAGGACGCGTTCCAGCCGAAGCTGAAGCCTCCTTCCTGAGCAGCCCTTCAGGTTGGGCCTGGGGCGCTACACTGGACATCAGGGTAGAAGCTGGCCTTTTGCCGGGGTGGCACTGAATCTTCCGTCCCCAGCGGCAGGTGGCGGCCAGGCCGCAAGGTTTGGGGCAGCGCTCCAGAGGGGGAGTGGGCAGGCAGCACTGGAGAAGCCTGGCTCAAACTCCAGCAGCCCTGTGGAGGCAAGGCAGGAGTCCGGTGCCCTGGCTGGAGGACCCCAAGGGCTGTGGCCTGAATGGGAGGGAGTAGCTGTGAGGGGGCCATGGCCTGCCCCGCAGCCTCTCCCATCCAGCTGTCTGTCTGCTCTGGGTTACCTGTGGGGAGACACAGGAAGGCCTCAGGGGTGCCTGCGGCTCCTGTTGCATGGCTGCCTTCTATTCCTTTAGCTCTGGAGGAGAGGTTCTGCCTGAGACACAGCACCCAGTCTTCCAGGGTGTGTTACAAGAGCAAGGTGGGACGGGGTGGGGGAAGTGGGGGGAGCGGAGCACTGGGTGCTCTGGGGCCTGCCTGGTCCTCACCTGCCAGGGTGGGCTCTAGGCTTGCCTCAGAGGGCTGAGGGGCCCCTGAATACTCGTCTCCAGGCAGCGCTGCAAGGAGAGCTGGCTCAATGCTTGGCTTTAAAACAGGGGCGGGGCAGGACTGGGCAGGGTGCCCAGGCCAGGATTCCCACGGTGGGGCGGTGGGGCGCAGGAACTAGCCCATGCAGTCTCTTCCTCCTAACCACCTGGGGGCACTCCTGAGAGGAACACCAGCCTCTCCCTGAAAAGCTGAGCTTAGCAAGGGGGTGCCAGGCCTGAACCCAGACTTGGGGAAGAGAAGGTGGCAAAAGACCTAGACCGACCCAGCAATTGATCTAAAAGTGCTGACCTCGGACTTAGGGACTCAACTGGGATATGGGTTCATGCACTTAAGGATCACGCACATAAGTAAGAACACAGGAAAAACGGACCCAGGGTTCACACAGCCTCTGCAAGCACAGACACACAGAGACACGTGTGTATGAATCTCATGCTCTGGGTGAGACACAGGGGTGTCTATGCTCAGCAGAAGGGCTGGGGGTGGGGCGGCCCAGGATTGTAGCTCACCTGCAGGATGGGAGTCTCCTTCTCTAGTGCACGGCACTCTTCCTCCAGGAGGGTCTTGGGACATGGACAGGGCAACAGTGGAAGCAGTGCTGCAGGCCCGGGTCTCAGCAGAGCCCTCCATAGGGTCCCAGCCTCTGGCCTCCCCAGGAACCTCCTATCCCAGCCCACCTCTCCCTCTCCTGCCCTCATGCTGTTCCAGCACAACCTGGCAACCCTGCCAGCCTCTTCCTGGGCAGGGTGTGTCCTCTCTTCTTGCCTGCCTCCCAGTGCCCACCCTGAGGAGCAGCATTCTCTCTTCTACACGATAGGACTAGACTTGTGGGTTCTCCTGCCTCCATTCTCTCCCGCATCACAGCCCTGCCCCTACTTTAAAAAAACTTCTGTGTGTCATCTCTTCCCCACCTCCCAGGATAAAAGTCCTCAGGCCAAGGCCCGTGTGAGCATCTGTACTTGACTGATTCCTGGCAGCATCCTCATTGGCATTCTGCCCTTTCCACCTCTCAGCCCCACTCTCCTGGGTCTCCCAGCCAGGTGTGTTTCCTCCCTCCTCCTTCCAGTAGCCCCAGTACATCAGGGTCCATCTGCAGTCCCACCCTCCCTGTCTCCACCGTCACTGCACACACTTGGGGGCCTCACCACAGGTGTCCAGCAGCCTGGACACGTTCAGCTGGTTCTTGATCACGCTGAGGCCTGGTGACAGCTGCCGGCAAATGAAGTCAACCTCACTCTCTCATGCTGCTTCACCCCAGGCCTTCAGGACACAAACGCCATTTCTCCTAGACAAATTTGTGTTTTCTCTCAAAGGCAATACAAGATGGTACTAAATGGAGGAGATCTAGAGCCTGGGATTGCACATGGGTTCTGCTAGCCTTTACTGTGTGTGAGTCTGGGAAAGTTAATCATCCTTTTTGAGCTTTAGTATCCTCACCTGCAAAATGGGGACATCACCCCCTTCATAAGGATATGTGAGACACAAATTGCTACCATTCACCGACGAACACGCTGCGGCTCGTTTATCTCATTCAATCCCTAGCCCTCTCTAACACAGTCCTTGCAGTCTGGCTATCCCAGCCTGAGGGACAACCGGCCACTGGATGAAGTCTTTCCTTCCACTCATATCTGCACGTAGTTCTCCCTGTTCCTGCAAAGTGCTTCTCTTTCTGTCTGTCTGGAAGCCTGTTCCTCGTACTCTAAAACCTAGCTCCAACCAAGCTGCCAGGATTGGCACGTGTTTCCTGGGCCTCTGCGGCCCTCATGGGCTGACCTCTACCGCAGGTGGCTGTAGAAGTGTCAGTCTCACACCAGGAACTCCTCCATGCCCTCGGGTGGGACCTACCAGCCAGCTGGGGTCCTTTGCCCAGTGAGGACAGATCCCTCCTCTCCTACTACTGTATCTGGGTTCACCAGCTCCCATCTGGAACATCTGTTCTGGCAAATCACGCCTGGGCTCCTCCAAGGCAAAGCGCAGGACCCTGGGGGCTATACTGGACCCAAGCGTGGGTCTGGTCCCTGCAGAAGATGCATAAAGGCGATTCGGGGGCTCCTTCCAGGGAACCACAGGAAAGGCGACCCTGGCCCTTGTCAGTTGGCAGGCTAGCCCATCTGAGTTCTGGAGACAGGGCCCAGACCCAGGTCTGGAGCTCCAACCTGCCCTCACAGATGGCCTTCCGGTGGAGATCTTGAAGCAGCTGCAGCAGTTCCTGGCGCACAAGATCTCTTAGGAGGGGCGGTGGTGCCAGAAGGGAGCAGAGGAAAGAGGTGGGGCGCGATCCAGAGGCTTGGACAGATCGAGCCTCTTGGAGCAGTGATGCTAACATCACTACCTGAAAGGAGAGCTGGGACACCTCGGCCACTGCGGAGGGAAGTGAAGGCAGGCAGGGAAGCTGGGGGAATGAGGCGCAGGTCAATTGGAGCCGGTCGGGATGGACAGTGAGATCCTCCAAGAGCTCGAGAGTTACAGGGACACGTCGAAGGTGAGAAAATCATCCGAGTCGTGGGACAGGTCTGCCGTGGGGCCCACCTTCCTACGCCCCACCTTCCTACGCCCCACCTCTCCCCGTAGCTCCAGGCTCAGATCCACTGTCGTCTCCCCTAGAATCCTCCTCACTTCGGGCCGCTCCGGGAGCGGAACGTGCTCTTCCACCAGTTCCTACAACGACTGCGAGTCCCCAGGCATGGCCCGCCCGCGCCGCTGCGCCCCCAGAGGTGCGGTCGCACCCTTGGACCTGTGCGACCACAGCTCGGAGCGCTGGGTTACTGGTATACTGCTAGTCAGTCGCCCAGGGCCGGGCACACCCACTCACGCCTCGCCCGCGTCCGGGTCTCACAGGCCACGCCCCCAGCCCGTCACTCGGACCGGCCTCACCCAAACCTCATTCCCTTCTGCCGCCCGTCCCCACGACTAGAGTTGCTTGGTCCAGAGCCGCTGGCCTCTGGCGCTCTCTTCTGCTCTGCTGCTGATCAACTCTCAGAGGCCACAGTTTCAGGTCGCGGCCCCGGGAACCTGGAGGCCCTAGCCCCGCCCCTTCCGCGCGGCCGTCACCCGGGAAACGGGGCCAGCTACCCAAGCCCCGCCCCCAAAGGGTCCCGGCCCCGCCCATTCCAGGGCGGTGCCGGCTAGCAAAGCCCAACCCACAGTCTTGGTAGGTGGTTTCGCTGTCTCAACCACGCACATCACCCTGACTCTAAGCACCTTTCATCTCCAGGACAGGTGAAAGAACCGAGAAATATGAGCCCGGTGGGTTTATTACTTCCGTGCCTTTTCTGGGGCAGGAACGGACTAGGCTGTTCCGGGAAGACAAGTAAAAGTGGGAGTGTGGGAGAAACAGGAGGAGGGGAGGAAGGCGGTAGGTCGAGGGGGACCAAGGGGCCAGATGAGCAGCGTCTCACGGAGCCCCCCTTGCTTGAAGCCATACTTGCAGTGTGAAGTGCCGGGAAGCCTGAGGTGAGCGCCTTGGGGTCTGGGCGGGCTCTCTGACCCTCGAACCCCCGCCCCCCCCCGCCCCCCTCCCCGCTCCCCCTGCCCCAGCGCCCCACTCTCTCATTTTCCTGGCTGCTCCTCTGCACTTTTCCTACCTGGTTCTGTTTTCTCCAGGAGAGCTGAAGAATGGGTTCATTTCCTGGCTTTTCCTCTCCTGAGGAGCCACTTAGAAACCCGTCCCTCCGGTCCCACTGGAGCTGCTGAGTCAGAATCTGAGCAAAACCATATCCTCCGGTGGTTCATATGCATGTCGGAGTTTTACAAGCGCTCTTCCAGATGCAATGGGTTTCAGTCTACACGTTTTACTTTGCTTTTGAGGACTGGCCACGTCTGTTAGATCTTTCCTCCGTAGGAAAGCGAGCTTGCACTGAGCTTGTAAATAAGTTCGCTTGTAAATAAGTAAGCAGCTTGTGGCTGCTTGTGGGTTGTCACAGCTCTTAAAGTGAAGATGAGGAATCTCTGTTTATTTTCCTACTTTAATTTGAACTTGTCCTGCTTTAATATAAAAGTAGCGTTTCTCTGAAGTTATTTTACAGAAGTGCCAGCGCACACAAACACACACATTTTAGCTATCAAAACATATATGTAACTCTCCTGGTCAGAAATCAGGAGAAAATTAAAGTGCCGTAGTGATTGAATAAGATGAAGGAAATGTCTCACCATTCCCTTTAATGATTATAGCATCTTACCTCTTTAGTCCATGTTCTTCTTTTTGCTGCTTTTTCATGCTACCTCAGTAAAGTATGAAGAATGCACTCTGAGTTGTACATGTCAGTCCAGGGACAGCAGTTTTTATTTTCTGAGTTTCTCATCTTCCTACTGCCTTGGGTTGGGGGCTCCGCTACAGGCTGATTTACGGGGGTGCTGAACAAGCGTCAGGGGAAGGGGTCCATCTGTCACATCCTTCTGTGGCTTAAAGATTCTCTGCTGACAGAGAAACAAACCAACAAGACAAATACAACTGGGTACGCTATCTGGATTCTCCACTGCCACGTCTGTGTCTGAAGGGAGAGGATGGCTGGGTTTCCTCCTGACCGTGTCTCTGCCTGCAGACCACGGTCCTGGAAGAAGCCATCAGAGATGCCCACAAGTGTGATGAGGAGATTCAGCTCTACAACGAGCAGATCGACACCCTGCGGAAGGAGATTGAAGAGGCGGAGAGGAGCCTGGAGAGGTCATCCTATGACTGAGGGCAGCTGGTGGTCGCCCAGCAGACTCTGAGGAACGAGTTGGACCGGTATCACCGCGTCATCAAGAATGAAGGCAATAGGTGCGGTCAGGGTGGGCAGAGCCTGTGGGTACAGAACCACTTACTTGCTCCACGTTTTTCCATGTGCCAGTTCCAGGCTGTAGGGAATGTGGCCGGAAAGCCAAAGTGTTAGTTGCTCAGTCGTGTCTGACTCTTTGTGACCCCTTGGACTATAGCCCGCCAGGTTCCTCTGTCCAGGGGATTCTCCAGGCAAGGATATTGGAGTGGGTAGCCATTCTGTTTTCTAAGGGATCTTCCCAACCCATTGCAGGCAGATTGTTTACCATCTGAGCCACCAGAAGGAGACCCCCAAATCCAGGACCTCATGGGGCTGGAATGCCAGTGGGGGAGGCAGAGGATGAATACGTTTGCAACAGAGATGTGGGCTCTGGCATGAGTGATGGTGGGGGGAGGGGAGAGGTGATGAAGATGACCGTGGGAGCGTTTTGGGTGTCAAGGTGTCTTTCGGCTCCACAGGTCTCTGGGGACAGGAACGTCTTAGCTGAAAGGATGACCAGGTGTGGTTATTGAGATGTTGCAGGCGAGATGCCTGCCCAGTACCTGGAACTGGCCCAGCGCTCAGAGCAGTTGGTGTTATTACTGCTGCTGCCATGGTGACTCTGAGCACCTGGCCGGTCAGTGCTGTGGCTGCCAGCAGGCTGTCTGGTCTCCTCCGCACGATGGATTGGGACGTGAACTCTGCTGGCAAGTGTCTCTGTCTCTGTCTCAGCCTCATCCACATCTACACCTGCATCAGCTACTCTCCGTTTCCTCCATGTTCATCTATGTGACCGTGTCTGCACCTAGTTGTATACTTATGTCCACATCTGTGTCTATAGCGTCTGTGTGTGTACATCTACACTATACCTACATGTAGTGTACTACACCTACATATAGCTACGCCCACATCACCTAAACTACATCTGTATCATCTACACCTACACCTACCTCTACATCTACGTCTGACACCTACTCTGCCATCTGTGTTTGTCTGGATCATCTGCATGTATGTCTACCCCACATCTACATTTTCTGCACCTGCATCATTTTCAACACCTCTGTTATTTACGCTGACACCTGCATCACCTACATTTACACCTGCACTTACCTCTCCGTCATCGACATCTGCATCTCTACCTCCACCCACACCTACATCATCTGTATCAACATCTATATCATATCTGTATCTACATACACCTATATCTACAATATCTATGGTTACACTTAACATCTTTATCACCTAAGCCTGCACCTCATCTCCACATAAAGTATCTAAATCTCAATCGTCTTTATGTACATGCATAAAGTGTCTACATCTCCATTGTCTTTATGCACATGCATAAACTGTCTATACCTCCGTGGTTTTCGTGTACATGTATAAGCTGTCTACATCTCCATCATCTTTATGTATATGTATAAACTGTCTACATCTCCATTATTTTTATGTATGTTTATAAGCTATCTACATCTCCATCGTTTTTATGTACACGTATAAACTGTCTACATCTCCATCATCTTTATGTGCATGCATAAACTGTCTACATCTCTGCTGTTTTTATGTACAAGTATAAAGAAAGCTGAGTGCCGAAAAATTGATGCTTTTGAACTGTGGTGTTGGAGAAGACTCTTGAGAGTCCTTTGGACTGCAAGGAGATCCAACCAGTCTATCCTAAAAGAGATCAGTCCTGGGTGTTCATTGGAAGGACTAATGTTGAAGCTGAAACTCCAATACTTTGACCACTTGTTGAGACGAGCTGATTCATTGGAAAAGACCCTGATGCTGGGAAAGATTGAGGGCAGGAGGAGAAGGGGCTGACAGAGGATGAGATGGTTGGATGGCATCACTGACTCAATGGACATGGGTTTGGGTGGACTCAGGGAGTTGTTAATGGACAGGGAGGCCTGGCATGCTGCAGTTCACGGGGTCGCAGAGTTGGAGACAACTGAGCGACTGAACTGACCTGATAAACTGTCTACATCTCCATTGTTTTTATGTACATGCATAAACTGTCTACACCTCCATCATCTTTTTGTACATGTATAAACCATTGGCATCTGCATCATCTTTATGTACACACACATCTACAGTGGTGTCTCCATTATTCCTATCCATACCCATGCCTGCTTATATGGATGTAACCATCTGTGTCAGAGAAGGCAAGGGCAACCCACTCCAGTATTCTTGCCTGGTAAATCCCATGGACGGAGGAGCCTGGTAGGCTGCAGTCCCATGGGGTCGCTAAAAGTCGGTCACGACTCAGCAACTTGACTTTCACTTTCATGCACTGAAGAAGGAAATGGTAACCCACTCCAGTGTTCTTGCCTGGAGAATCCAGGGACGGGGGAGCCTTGTGGGCTGTGTCTATGGGGTCGCACAGAGTCGGACACGACTGAAGCGACTGAGCAGCAGCAGCAGCCACCTGGAACTAAAAGCCCACCTTTTGGATGAGATAGCGTGAAAGCTTGTCCTTTCTGAAACTTTCAGTTTCTCCTCTTGGCTGGTCTGAAGCAGTGAATGTGGCCTCTGACCCAGGGGATTCCCATTCTGGGTTTAAGAGCATCATTTCCTCTTGTTGCACAGGAGGAAGGGGATGGTAATCACGAGTGGTGGTGTTTATCTGGTTTGGGATGCAGGGGGGACAAGGGTGTGCCTGGAGGCTATTCCAAACCCAGCAGAGGAAGGCGGGGTGACTCTGAGTTGCTCCTTTGGGGAAGCCTGAGGTGGCAGTGACTCTCTGGACTGGATTTCCTGGTCTGGTCTGGATCCCAGTGTCCCCTGTGACCTCGAGGTGAGGGTGCTGGGGTGGGGCAGAGGCCCTGCTCCCACAGAGTGTTATTGCAGGAGAAACATGGATCTCAGTAAGTTGTACCCAGTGTGAAGGGAACTGTGGGGGCCTCCCCTCTGCTCTGCAAGCCCGGAGGGGCCAAATGACTCATCCCAAAGTCACACAGCGGCCGGCAGGGCTGGGTCCTCAGTGTGGGCCATGAATGCTTAGGACCCAGAGATTCTACCCTGTTGCCAACCAGCCAACCAGTAAACCCCACCCCAGTGCTAGGCATGTATTTTTCAACAAATACTTTTTCTTCCTCTTTCATTGGCCTTGACTCATTGCACCTGCCTCCATTTTTCTTTTTTAAAGATCTCACCAGGGCTGTGCAGGATAAAACTGCAGCGAAACCAAGACTCAAAGGCCTCCCCAAGAACCTTCTGAGATAAAGGAGATGGTAGCGGAAGACAGAGCAGGTGAAATTCTGGAAGAGACACCGCTGAGAGGTCCAGAGGACACGACGCCGGGGCGGGAGGTGCTCAAAGAAGAGTGTGAGTCTAAACTTGAACCGGGGGATAAAGAAGCAAGTCCCCCAACCCAGGAAGGGACTCCGGAGGATGTCCCAGATGGAGGCAAGATAAGCAAAGCCTTTGAGAAGCTAGGCAAGATGATCAAGGAGAAGGTGAAAGGCCCCAGAGAACCCGAGCCCCCCACCGACCTGTACACCAAAGGGTGAATTTTAATTAAGGACAGGGGTGCCCTGCTAACAGGGCGATGGTCTCTGGAGATGCCAGTTTCATGGATCCTGGCTTCTGTGTCTTCTCCGCCCCAGTCAGAGGGGGCGTGGTGGTTTCTAAGGGTGACGACTCTGTGTGTCCTGACAGTGGCGTGGAACCCTCTCCCCAGCAGCCTGAGCCCTGTTTGGAGGATAGACAGGGGCCTCCCCATGAGAAAGAAGACGGTCTGAAGGATGAAGGGGGGCCTCCCCAGGAGAAAGAAGACGGTCTGAAGGAGGTAGTGGGGCCCCTGCAGGGGAAGGAAGACGGACACCCCCCTACCCTGCACCCTGCAGACAAAGGGGATGAGAAAAATGCCAAAGAACTGAAGGGCCTCCAGGGGAAACAGGATGGCCAGAAGGAGGAGGAGGGGGCAGAGGGCCCTGTCCCATGGTGGCACCTGGTTCAGAGGGGCCGTCTACACCCCGGTCTCAAGGGCCTCATGTTACTCTGGGTAGGTTCGAGGGGCATGGGGCTCGGAGCAGCAGCCGGCTGGTGAGAAGCCCTCCCAGGAAGCTGGCCTACGAGAAGATGGAGGTGATGGAATCCATAGAGAAGTTTTCCACTGAGAGCATCCAGACGTACGAAGAGACTGCTGTCACTGTGGAGACCACGATTGAAAAGACGAAGGCAAACAAGAGGAAACTGGGAGAGAAGGGATCCTCCAGTGCCTGAGTTAACCGGGAGGAGGTGCCTCTGGGCCCCTGAGGACACGTGCTTGGATGTTTTAGAACAGAGGCTACAAGGGTGAGGATACAAGGTTCTTTGGATTAGATGATTGTGGCCCATCTGGCTTACTGATGAAGCCTTAATTAAAATGTTTTCTTTGTACATCCTTTGTCTGATTAACAGGGGCCTTGGGCTTGCCGGTGGGCCAACCTCGCTCAGGACAGGGGTGCCCTGCTAACAGCCACTGAGCTGAGCTCATTTAAGAAAGTAGACGAGTCCTTTGTCTTGGGGCATCGCGGGGCTTGTTAGAGGCTCAGAGTCTGGATTTCTCACCTGAAACGTGTCAGGTGATGGATCGGCTTGTTTTCACCGCATTTCAGGCACAAGCACACGATTGCATGAGGGGTGCTTTGTTAGAAGTCAGGTGATTAAAGGTGTCTGTCTCAGTTTGGGTTCCCCAAGAAGCTGATGCTGCAGCAAGGATCTGATGTCATTTCTGGGGACGTGGTCCCAGGAAGCACCAGGAGGGCAGGAGACAGAGGTGGAGGCAGCAGGGCATCAGAGAGGAGAGGTGCTACTGGGTGGGTTGGAACCATGGGTGGCTGGCCCTAGGCCCCCATCCCCTGGGGCTCTGGGAGATGAGGTGGAACTTGGTCTTCAGTTACCCTGCCCAAGGGTGTGGGAACTGGGTATTGACCCACCAATCCCTGCCAGCCAGAAGGGAGGGCCCAGGACAGCTCTTCACGAGAATCGCAGGTGCAGGCAGGTGTTTGGACACCAGGCATGGAGACACATGGAAGCAATAGGGGTCACGGGTAAGAAGCAGGGTGCCAGGGCCACCTGCATAGCACACGTGCCTTATGTCCTTCTGGCTGAGTCATTTAAGAGTTTCTCACTCAGAGATTGCACTCCTGGGTTGGGCTTCAAAATCAAAATCCAATGTCACCACGCAGTTCCTTGTTCAGCAGTTAATTCATGAACTCGCCTAACATTTCCTGAGGGGCTTTCCTGATGGCTCAAGCGGTAAAGAATCTGCCTGCAATTCAGGAGACATAGGAGAGGTGGGTTCGATCCCTGGGTTGGGGAGATCACATGGAGATGGAAATGGCAACCCACTCCAGTATTCTTGCCTGGGAAGTTCCGTGGACAGAGGAGCCTGGTGGGCTACAGTCCATGGGTCAGCAAAGAGTCAGACGTGACTGAGCAGCTGAGCACAGACGCACGTTTACTGAACATCCTCTGTGTGCAGGCAGAGTGCAGTGCTGGTAAGGGAGAGCTGACAAGTTTATTAGTGATCTCAGTTACCGTCATATAATGTCCCATAATACACATGTGTGTATTCTCCTGTGCATACATGTGCACTCAGGGATCTGCAGTGTCACATCCTAGGAAAAAGAAATTACTTAAAACCAGAATCTTTACAAACTTTTTTTTTTGTACTTTACAATATCATATTGGTTATGCCATACATTGACATGAATCCACCATGGGTGTATGTTGCCTTTAGGCATCTCTTTTTCTCTACTAACAGTCCAAAAGTATTTTTTTTTTTTTTTGGCTTAGCCAGATAAGAAATTACTCCTTCTTCATGTAGACACTCCAAATTACATTATGGGCTGAATAAATGTCCTGAAATGGATTATTTCATCTCCCTAAACAAAGGTATCTGGCAAGACAACTGCACATCTTTAGAGAAGATTAACTGTGTCATAAATTACATCCTGGTATTTCTTTGTTAGAAAACATACAAAGAATGCTAAATAGAGTCACCTTTCCTTTCTGTGTAGAGCTTGAAAAGAATCTCTCTCTGAATTAATATGAGGTTTGGATTTCAAGAAAGACATACGCTTTTGTTGTTTGTTCTAGAAGATGAGTGAAGGACCTGCTCCATGGCACAGTTTTGAAATACGTATCATTTAAAAGCTTAAGAGAGAATAATGGAAAACTTCACCTGGAGTCCAAACTGTGCTTGGAATTTGGACCAGTGTATATATTAGATTCAACAGAACCACTCCTGCAAACCTTGTCTTTTCCCCATTCAGTCTTTTAATTTTTTGGATCATGTGTTCAGTGAATTATTTAAAAAGGGGGGGGTAATCTTTTTGGAAAGAAATGCCATTTTTATATTTTATTCAATTAATGATCAAAAGTTGATTGAAGGCCTGTTCTGATCATTCGAGGCTTTGGCAGGGAGAGACAACAGGGGACACTGAATGTGTTCAGCTTTACAATCACAACTTTCTGAGCAAGGGAGGATTTTGCACTGGCAGGAAGATAACTAAATAAGAGAAAATCGTACAGAGACGACACCACAGGGGCATGTGCTAGACAGAAAGCGTGTCTCTTCTGGGGTCGACAATCCAGTGAAGACTCTGTGGATGAGATGACGTGTGACCTGATGACTAGACGGGCCCATCATGTGCAGATCGGAGGGAATAGCATTGTAGGTAGCAGGAACGGCTGGTGCAAAGGTCCTGGGGCAGGAATGGACTAGGCTGTTCAAGGAAGACAAGTAAAGGGGGGAGTGTGGGAGAAACAGGAGGAGGGGAGGAAGGCAGTGGGTCAAGGGGGACCGAGGGGCCAGATGAGCAGTGTCTCACAGAGCACCCCCTTGCTTGAAGCCAAGCTTGTGGTGTGATGTTCAGGGCAGCCTGTGGTGAGTACCTTGGGGCCTGGGTGGACTCTCTGACCCTCGACCCCCTGCCCTCCTGCTCCCCCTGCCCCAGCGCCCCACTGGCTCATTTTCTTGGCTGCTCCTCTGCCTTTTCCTACTTGGTTCTGTTTTCTCCAGGAGAGCTGCCGAATGGGTTCGTTTTCTGGGTTTTCCTCCCCTGAGGTCTCTGAAAACAGGCAGGTAAGTTTGTATAAAAAAGATAAACACAGGTGCCCAAAGCAAGTTCCCCAACAACACGGATCACAGGAGAGTGCTGGAGCTTTGCCAAACACTGAGATCCCACAGTGCCAGTGCCCGAAATGACTGGTCCAAACTGTTGTACCGGGGAGCAGGAGGAGGCTGGGCTCCTCTTTCTCAGCCTCAAGCCCAGCACCAAGACTGTCCAGAGCCACCTCCTCCATAAAGAAACTGCCTTCCAGTTCTCAGGACCCACTATTCTCCAAGCATTTGAGTCACAGTGACCAGTAACTGCTGTTGTTTCAGCCGCAGTTAGGAGCTGGCCCCCAGGTTGGTCCTCCAGCCCTTGCTGGTCTGGTTCAGGACCCCATGTGTCTGGTTCAGGCACAAGCAGCGGAGCAGGCACGTGTGACTCTGCCAGGGGTTCCTGCAGCCCCAGGAGTGAGCTCAGTCCACACACTGGGCAGGCTGGCAGTACTGGGCCTCTGGGAGCAGCACTCATCTAGAATGGAGATGCCACTGGGGTGCATGGACACCCCAGCTCTCTTGTCCTTCCATTGGGACCACCCCGAGGCTTGTTGTACATGGTCCCCAGTGGGTGTCGGCTGCAGATGCAGGTGGAGAGACCCACTCATCCCTGTGGCCCGAATGGGACCCCTCCTCTCCTGTCCCACTGCCTGCTTCCCTACATAAAGATGCTTCCTTCCAAATAAATGACTTGACCTCGACTCCTCTGTCAGAGTCAGCTTCTGGGAGGAACAATCTGAGATGGCTGGTTGGCGTCTGCCCAGCAAACACCCCTCCCTCCCCACTGCTGGGTGGGGGCAGCCCTGATCTTGTCCTGAGGAGCTGCTCCTTCACACAAGTTACAGCTCTGATTGGACCCACGAGACACCCCACCTTCCTCTCCCTGTGGGTGGGCAAGTGCCCCAAACCAGACCCACTGTTGCAATAGGAGATCCGAGTCCAGCGGAGCCAAGATGAACATGCAGGAGCCACCCTGTGACTGGGGAGTCCTGATGTGGTCCCCACGGTCCCCACTGTGCCTCCCAGTCCCGGGGCTCACTACAGCCTCTGTCCCTTTCCAGGCTGGTTCAGGCTGGCTCTCTAGGCTTCCCTTCAGTTCTGACTGCTACACTGCCTGTTTTGGATATGCAGCTTCCGTGTCTTTATGAGTCAGAGTTAGTTTCTGTTCTTGCAACCCCAGAGATCCCCAAGAAAACCTCCAGTGAAGGAAGTTTGGTATCAAGGTGGGGATTGATGGAGGTTTCAGTTAGGTGTGATTGCCCCCAGAGCAGACCCTAAACAAGATCTCAGGCGCTGGTGGTTTGTAGAGTGGTGATCCCAGGGACTAGGCATGCCACTAGAAAGCCCAGGCTCTTAGCTCCAAGCCAGCCTGTCTACGCTGTGGTGGGTGCCAGGGCTGTGAAGCTGCAGTCTCGTCCCTGATATGCCATCATCCCCCTGGTCGGGGAGAGGGAAGGCAGGAAGAGAGAGACTGTGGTCCTCGTTTGCTACTTCGTCCTGGTCGTGGCACTTCCTTCCCTGAGCAACAGCTGAAGCCAGTTCCCAGTCTTTCCAACATCTGCAGAAGCGGCCTCACTACAGTCTCCTCAGAGACCTGGGTCGTCCAGGGCGTCCTGCCAGGAGCGCTCACGCAGGGGTGGGGGTGGTGTCCGTCCCCCACATCCAGCAAGTCTGCTTGTTCGATGCAGGTGCTTGGTCCATGTGGTGTGTTAGTGGTCTCTTCTGCTTTTCTAATTAGGAAGATAATGCTTCTTTACAATCTGTTTATAGTGCTTTTGGAGAAGGAAAAGTTACCCACTCCAGTATTCTTGCCTGAGAAATCCCATGGACTGAGAAGCCTGGTGGGCTACAGTGCATGGGATTGCAGAGTCAGGCATGACTTCATGACTAAACAACAACAAATAGTGCTTTATACGCAGTTCTGTCTGTTAATACCAACAGTGGCGTTTCAGGCTGCACTGACTTCGGACTATTGGTTTGGGCTCCACTCGCAGGGAAGAGGCCAGGTAGAGCATCTTCAGTCATCCCTGCAGGAGGTGAGGAAGCTGGGGTGTCTGTGGACCAGCTCCCCCTCCTTCTCCAGGTGAGTGTGGCTCTGGGGCACTGATTCCCTGGCTTTTCTGCCTGT